ATTGAACGCAATCTTTCACAAATTACCCTAATGAACAAAATTAATTATAACATAGAATCAGTATATGTGTATGTCGTGCCCACCATGCAGGGATCTTTTTTCTTTCGAGGTTGATTAGTAGGAAACACGCTGGAAGGTAGGTCGAAAGGAACACTTCAGCCTCCTTTCAGGAATCGTGGGAATGGGTGGATGGTGATTCGGGTGAGAGACGGATGAAATGAAGACAGAAGAGAATGAAAGATTATCTGTGGAATATTACTGCCCCGGCATTTGCCTAACTGATCCAATAAAACCACAGAAAAACTTGGATCAAAGCAGACGGACTCGAAATCGAACCGGCCTCCTCCTGAATGCTAAGCAATGGTCTAAACTTCTAGGCCATGCCGCTTGGTATTTTATAATTGTGAAGACGTGCTTTAAATTTTCTGTTTATATGTATTTATGATAGTTGTTAGTTTGTAGAACTTTTACTATCACATTTTGAAGGGACTTTATTCATAAGCACATCTAGGAATTTCTCAATAGCACATTTCTCATCAGCTACAGATCAATAAATGGTTCGCAAATAAAACCTTCAGAAACTCTGCTAGCACCCGCCGTGTCGGCGTCTTCAAATTATGACTTGACATTATCAATATTTTCCGAACNGGAGTGACCCAAATTAACCTCAGGTAGCGGCTATTAAGAAGTTAAAGTTTGCCCGGCTCTGGTCTAGATATCATGCTTAAAATATTAACTGGTTGACCACTGTTTTAAATTGGCGCTTAGTTCGACTGTTTCAGGACTGGAACTAAAACTCTTGAACTTTGCGCCAAAATCACTACAGCCGCCATATTTTGGATGTTACGAGCACCATCTCTTAAATTTTCTAAGAATTTATAAAACGACCCTCTTGCTAAAGGTGAAACCCTTCGATTATTTGATATTTAAAAACTATTTCCGATACTATTCCCTTAGTAGTTATGAAGACCAACCATAAATTAAAAATTCTGAAAAAGAGGGAAGGTAGGAGACGTCTCAACTTAGAAAAGCTAAAATGTAACGAAGCGCATGATAGGCTAGGTAAAAGGACAGACGAAATACTAAAGGCGGCTGGAGAAACGAATGACCGGGACATAGAGACAGAATGGAACTGCATTAAAACGTGCCTAAAGTCAGCAGCTGCAGAGGTACTAGGTCTTAAACAAAACGAAAGTAGGAAATCCTGGATAACAAATGAGATTGTAGGATTAATAGACGAAAGGCGGAAATACAAAAACAGGACAGACGAAGAAGGGCAAAACAGATATAAAGCTATAAAGTGGGAAATAATTAGGAAGTGTAGGGCAGCTAAGGAACAGTGGATTGATATGAGGTGTAAGGAAGTAGAAGAAAAGTTTGAAGAAGGTAAAACCGATGAGGCTTATAATATAATTAAAAGGAATTTTAGAGATGTAGGATACAGTAGTAATACTATAAGAAATGAGGCAGGGGTCATTTTGATAGAAAATGGAGAAAAGGCAGATAGGTGGAAAGAATATTTAGAGAACCTATACGCAGGCCCTGAGTTAGGAGATATATTACAGAAGGACGATAGTGTGGAAATAGATGAGCTTGGTTATTCCATAATGAGAGAAGAGTTCGATGTAGCATTAAAAACATAAAGAATAATAAGACGCCAGGTGTAGATGGGATACAGGGGGAAATTCTAAAACATGCAGGACAAGAGGTTAGAGATCGTATGTTTAAGTTGGTTAGTCACATTTACGAAACGGGGAAAGTCGCAGAGGATTATAAACGGAACGTAGTAGTAACATTACCTAAGAAGAGGGGCGCGGATTGATGCGAGACATTTCGAACAATTAGCTTAACTTCCCATGCGTCAAAAATCTTAACTAGAATTGTACAGAGTAGGATGGAAAAAAGGGCGGAAGAACTATTAGGGGAAGATCAAAAATAAGTTATTTTATGGATATCATAAAAATAGTGAATTTCACATGTTAAGGGCCTCAATCATCACTCAGTCTTTAAATACAACAATTCTTCAGGTGAAGAAAACTAAAAGTCTGCTTATGTAGAAATTTGTAGTTTCGTGTATAATTCGTATATCTTTTTTATTTATTGCACACAATTTCTTTAATGCGTAATCTATCCATTCATACGCTGTTGTTTTACCTAAAGTAGCTTCAAATAGAAAAGGCAATTATTCTTAACAATTATATCAACATTATTCCCACTGTCTATTGCATACCATGCGGCGAGCGCCAGTTGCAGAGCAATCAAATGAACAAATGATTTCACTTTTTCTGGACTGAGACAATTCACTGGATATCTAGTTTACGTCACGACCGAACGTTTCGACGAGTCAACGAAGAACGTATCTAATCTGCATTTAAACGATAATTTCCGAGCAATTGTAAAAATAAATTAATTGAGAACTACCATTGGTAGAAAGTAAATTTCTATCATTGTGATTTCTAAACAATGAAATAGTTTCCGTTTTTTTTTCTTTTAGCGTACCTACTTTTGATAAAATTAATGAATGTGGTACATCTATAAGTATATACACAGTTATATTGGGCTCAGGTGCCGAATTCGAACCAATTCCGAAATAAATTAGCAGATCTTGACTTATTCAGAACAAATGTAACAGATGCCAAATACGGCGATCATTTCATCATCAGTTCACGTATGTCATCTGTTTAAATCGTATTTAAGTCAAATGTCGAACTTCTTGATTAATCGACATTTGCTAAAACTGAAATTAGGTACTGTCCAAAATTACTTATTTTTGGGGTAGGGGTAGGGTAACAAACTAGATTTATTCATTGTATTTATTACAAACAATTTTACTAGTGTAATAAAGTAAAATAAAAATACTGGTATGCATAGGAAGAAAGGTAGAGAAGGAGCGAATATACAGATAGGAGACGAAAAATTAGAAGCGGCTTCTTTTAGGTATCTAGGAAATCAGATAAGTCAGGACAGAAGGAGTAGTAGGGAAATAAAGGATTGCTGAAGGTGATGTTCGGAGCGCAGCGCTGTACGGCTGTGAAAAATGGACGGTGGGCGCTGCGGAAAAGAAAAGGTTAGAGGCGTTCGAAATGTGATGTTACAGGCGAATAATGAGGACACCGTAGATGGAGAAGGTTAGAAATGAAGAGATGGGTTGCTAGGGCACCTTCTCAGACTTGAAGGTCTAGTCAAAGAAATATTAGAGGCAGAAACGGGAGTTAGGAGGGGTAGAAACCTAGATTATATTCAAATTAGAAAGAGGAGACTGTGGTAAATATTAAATAGGAATACTCACCCCTAATTACCACAAATAATAAAACACGTGTTTCGCCCATTTCATACGTAAAATTATTTGTGGTAATTAGGGGTGAGTATTCCTTTTAATTTTTAATTAGATTATATTACTGTTCACAAATAGTTAAAGATGCGGGATGTTCTAGTTTTAGGGAAATGCCGAAGATTAGCTTAGGATAGGAAGGAGTGGAGGTGCGTATCCAACCACTCTTAAGAATGACGACCTTATGATGATGGTATTTTGCGTATTGAACACAATGTATTCCATTGAACGCAATCTTTCACAAATTACCCTAATGAACAAAATTAATTATAACATAGAATCAGTATATGTGTATGTCGTGCCCACCATGCAGGGATCTTTTTTCTTTCGAGGTTGATTAGTAGGAAACACGCTGGAAGGTAGGTCGAAAGGAACACTTCAGCCTCCTTTCAGGAATCGTGGGAATGGGTGGATGGTGATTCGGGTGAGAGACGGATGAAATGAAGACAGAAGAGAATGAAAGATTATCTGTGGAATATTACTGCCCCGGCATTTGCCTAACTGATCCAATAAAACCACAGAAAAACTTGGATCAAAGCAGACGGACTCGAAATCGAACCGGCCTCCTCCTGAATGCTAAGCAATGGTCTAAACTTCTAGGCCATGCCGCTTGGTATTTTATAATTGTGAAGACGTGCTTTAAATTTTCTGTTTATATGTATTTATGATAGTTGTTAGTTTGTAGAACTTTTACTATCACATTTTGAAGGGACTTTATTCATAAGCACATCTAGGAATTTCTCAATAGCACATTTCTCATCAGCTACAGATCAATAAATGGTTCGCAAATAAAACCTTCAGAAACTCTGCTAGCACCCGCCGTGTCGGCGTCTTCAAATTATGACTTGACATTATCAATATTTTCCGAACCGAGTAGGCGTTACCACCTCTGTTTATCGAAGGCCGTTCTACCCCTGTATATATTCATTATTTCCAATCCCAGCAAAATATGAATTTTGGACGCACCTACGATACGCCCAAAATTATCAGCACAATTATTATAAATAAGTATGTAACTTTAATCAGAAGATACCGAGCGGCATGGCCTAGAGGTTTAAACCATTACTTAGCATTCGGGATGACGCCGTTTCGATTCTGGGTTCATCTGCCTTGATCCAAGTTTTTCTGTGGTTTCCTTGGATCACTTAGGAAAATGCTGGGTCAGTAGTATTCCACAGATAATCGTTCATTCTCTTCTGTCTTCATTTCGTCCGTCTCACCCACGATTCCTGAAAGGAGGCTGAAGGGGGCCTTCCGCCCTACTTTCGGGCGTAGTCCGGAAGTACTGCCCGTCCACCAGCATTAATAGCTGGTGGGAATGAAACACCCAAAAGTTTTTTTTTAGTCAGAAAGAACTTCAAGTATTTCAATTCATTCACTTCAAGTGGTTCAAGAATTTCAACTCATTTATTTCAAGCAGTTCATTCAATGCAATTCGTGACCTGTACAATTGCAATTCCGTGACCTGTACAATTCACTGAGTTCAAGCATTCAACAGAACTCATTTTCAGTATCTACAAGTAATCAGCCTTCGTTTATGTGTGAACCTTATCTTTTTTCGAACGGACATGTAACGTGACATTTTAGTGACCATTCTGTACTTGTTCTAATTAAGCATAGCTCAAGATGTTGAAGTGTCTTGTTTGAAAGCATAAACATCTAAACATACCTTGTGGAAGTTTTTCATCTTCTACGTGCCTGTCAGAACACCTATAAACACTGGTCACCCATGTACAAAATCTGGTATCGACTAGACCCAAACCAATGGGTATTAAGACGTCTTGAAGTTGTGCCATCCAAAGGGCTGCTCCTGCCACTGGCCATGGATAGATTAACCATGGAAAAATACATAGAATCTGAAAAAAAAAATTATAAACATTACTTTATTTATTACTACCTATATATTGCTGTTTCTATCACACTTTTAGATTAATTTAATGGTCAACTTTAGGTAGATAAGAAATTCTTAAGTTGCACACCCAAAATTACGCTGAAATCTCCTTTAATATGGGCTAAGCATGCCCACTTTATATATTTAATTAAACTCTACAACTGTTTCGGTTTATTGAGCCTTTATTAAGGCTAGTTTAGTAACTTTTGGACTGCCTCAAGTGGGAACATACATACATACGCCATGCAGCATGAAGTTAGTTACAAGTTACGTACGTTCAACCCTTTAGCAGAGACGCAAAATGGTTTTTTTAAAAATATTTAAATACAAAAGATAAATACTTTTTTGATTTTGTTATTTCAAACGTAAAATACAAAATAGATTTCCCCTTTGTATTTTAAATGCAAAATACGTATTTTCAAAATACTTTCTTCAAATAAGTACTTTTTTGTAATATCTATTTAAGTTTCTATATTCACTTAAGTATAAACTATTTTTTAAGAAAACTTTGCAGTCATATTCTCAGTTTTTAAATATTGGAGTTTTTCTAGACGAATAGTGGTGTTTGCATTACATCACCAGCTGCAAAGATTGAGTATGATTCATATTTTTCTGTGATAGTTTCTTCAGTTCAGCAACAACTAATTCTTCTATATGCTTTTTTAATTGCCTTTGTGATCCGTTTTAATTGGCAAAAAGACACTGACACCAAAATAAAAAAAAAATGAAATCCATAGTTTATTTAGCTTTGGGTTCATCTGATAAGTGGAGTATTTCGAATAGTTTTCTAAGAATTTTGGATTATACGCATTTATTAGCACATCCCAATATCTTGTCGTTTTCAGTTTCACATGGCTGGCGTATATCAAATCGATATTGTTTTGTGGGCTATTTTATTATAATTCATAGAAGTTCGTAGTTTCTTGCTACGATAAGTGGTGATTTGACAGGTGCTGATATCAATTTGGAACTTTGAAATTCCATGGACCATAACATTGAAACCGAAAGACAATATCGATCCAATATTTTAGATTATCCATTTCCAAGGAGTTTAGAATTTTTTGAGCTCTCTTCAGTTAAAGAATCAGAAGGTATTCATGGAATGTCTCGTTGTCCCTTTTTTAAGTTTCTAATACCTTCAATAGCCAAAATGAGCAACATTCATTCATCATTTTATATAATGTTTGATCGGTGATACAAGCAACACTTTTAACGGCAAAAATGTATTTTGCATTTTACAAATAGAAAATACGTTTGGAAAAAGATTTTAAATAAAATACAAAATGCTTTTCTCAAAAAAGTATTTAAATGCAAGATAAAAATAGGTATTTTTTATTTTGTATTTGCATTTTAAATGCAAGTATCTCAAATAAATCAAATCTCTGCCTTCTAGACTGCATTCACGTCTAAAATGATGTAATTTAATGTTATTTTCGGATTTAGCATAAGACTATAATATATTTTCTCTACTACAAGTGAGTTAAATGTCCAATTACTATAACCTTTTGGATTGGCTAGTACAGAGTATGTTGATGACGTAAATGCGGTCTCTCAATAATTTAACTGTACCGTCTCTTTATTGCCAGATATCCTATCAATTAGAATAAGCTTTTAAAGATGACTGTATTCCATTATTATGGGTACCTATATCACTTATTGTGATAGCTTAACATTTACGGTACTTGCAATCTAGTATTTCGATAAACAATAACAGATGTGCGTTACATATCACGTTTTATGTATAGTTTCATGTTACCGAATTGTTTAAAATTAAAGCGTGCGTTGTTCATTGTTTCAGTTTTCACAAAAGACATTTTCAACGTTATGGGTGTTGTTGACAGGTCGCTATAACGCAACAATGAAGTGTTTGATGTTATTTACAGGTATTATATGTATACAAATACATTCTGTTGAATTTAGCGAGCACTTCTAATTAATTTACAAGTAATATATACTTGATGAATCGAATTGAAACGGTCTCAAACATCGACGATTTTCTCATGTCAGCTGCGTACCTACAGAACACAAACTACTGATAATGTTCGGTGTTACAAAGACATTTCTTAGTTACATTATTTTTGGTATAATTCTTAGGTTTATTAGGTTATTCATCTCATTTGATTTGTATATTTTGTAAATAGATGTTCTTCCCTGGTCGTAAATGCAATTCTTACGACCAGCTAAACTAAGTTTATTATCTGGTTTGCCCAGACATCATTTCTCGGAGGGTTGGTACCTGACTGGGTAATTTCTCCACCAGATGTACTTTCAGGTATAATCCATTTCAACTTTTTCCATCATTATCGTGGGGGTGGAGTAAGTTATAAATGAGTGTCCTTGTAAGATTTAAAAAAGATCCAAATCTCATTCCAATCAATCAATTTAAAACCAACATATTAACCAAATTAACCGAAAAACAAGTTATTCCTAGTGTATCATATCACTAACCAACTTTGTATATATTGTGTCTTGTGTAAATAAAATTGTATATAAAACAAATCTACAGTCCATTACTTCTTCGAAGTGATTTCACCAAATTAATAACCGGCGGGATACCGCCATATCCAACAATTAGCTTCTCTAAATAATTTTCTAGAATATAAATACATCCCATGTTTCCTAGATATAACAAGGCCCTCTACTGATAATGATGGAGGAACTTGTAATGATAATTTCTTTACAAAATCCAATAACATTAACTTGAAGGCTTACAAAATAACGAATCCTTATAACGACCATTATCGTTTACTGGTCGCCGTAGATAAATTAAAAACTTAAGAGATTAACACAACATTTTATAAAATACCACAAATGGCGCGGTAAACGCCATCTGTAGTACGATGCTACACTTTAGGATTACGTATGCTCCAACAAGATCCACTTGTGTGGATATCTACTTGCTGAAACNAATGGGATGCAGTTTGTCGCTCGGTAGTTTGTGCTGTTTTTTTTTCTTTTAAATCGGGTCCGTATAGTACAAGTAAACTCACCCCCGGTGTCATAATTGACATCATTACAAGGTCATCAGTCCTAAGACTGGTTGGACACGCACCTCCACTCTTTCCTAACCGAACGAATCTTCACATTTCCCTAAAACTAGAACAACCCATATCCTTAACTATTTGCGAACAGTAAGTAACAGGCGTAAATTATAGTATTAATACAGATAGGACAGTAGCGTACTAGGAAATAATTTAAAAATATGACTTATCAAAAAGAAAAAATTAACCTATTGCTGTTGTTTTATAGTTAGTTTTCACATTCGCTGTCATCATGGGAATCTCTATCACTGTCACAAATATCAACAATTAGTTCTTCTGTTTGTATGTCTATTACTTGCTCACTGATCCCTATTTTTAAATATTTAATCTAAGCCCCTGATAGGAATACTGAAGAATGATGGCTGCAATCATTATACCTAAAACTGCCTACTTTTGCCACCGCGCATCCACGCCATTTTAAAATTTCCGCCAGCTTCCAGCGTCAGGCTTGTATGTCTCTGACTAGACCTTCATGGCTGAGAAGGTGTCCTACTGATCTTTCTTGCCTATTCCTTATTGCCTTCCATAGAGTCCTCTGTTCTCCTATTCTTTCTGATACTTTTTTTTACTTTTTTTAAGTTTTGGAAACAGATAAAAGTAGAATGGGGCCAAATCAGGGCTGTATGCAGGATTATTGGTGACACTGAACTAAGACGTCTGTTTGTTGCACATGTCACACAGTTCGGGTGTGATATGGCATTGACATGCTGAAGGAAATGGTACCTCATGTGTCGAATTCGTGTTTTAAATTTTCGCCGACACAAGCGGTTAACAAGAGATTTGCTCTGACAATTGGGAAATCAGCCAAAGACAAAAGAGATCCTCCAGCGAAAGTAGGCGTGTGCTGGATTCCTTGCAGGTGTAGAAAATTTTCCTTAGAAATTAGAAAGGAATCTATTAAGACCAGAATAAAAGAATACAAAGCAAATTATTATCTATAGTGTATTCAAAACCAAGAGTCACCATCATAAACAAATGCACAGCACGTGATCACCTCGTATCCTCATAGACTATCGTACATACAAGATGAAATACGTACGACCCGATTGGTTAATTTTCACGTACATGCATTTGTTTATGTTGGTGACCCTTGATTTTGAATACACTTTAGAACACACCAACAAATCCGCAGTGGCAGGACACACTTTAAACAGCATAAACCACTCAATTAAATTCGAAGACACTGAAATTTTGGCGACGGAATTATCATAGGTTCCAGACCATATAGGGAAGAAATAGAGATACGCAATAACAGAATTGAAGAATCACTAAGAATTAATCGTACTTCTACTCCGATACTAAAAAAGTCACCTAAACGGAAACACTAACCAACCAGCTTGCCAGGGAATCCACACAATTACAAGCCCATCTATGAATAAATAACCGAGCGGCATGCCCTAGTTTAGACCATTGCTTAGCATTCGGGAGGACGCCTGTTCGATTCCGGGTCCATCTGTCTTTGTCCAGGCTTTTCTGTGGTTTCCTTGGATCACTTAGGCAAATGCCGAGGCAGTAATATTCTACAGATAATCTTTCACTCTCTTCTGTCTTCATTTCGCCCGTCTCATCTTTCTCGCCCGAACCGCCACCCACCTATTCCCACGATTCCTGAAAGGAGACTGAAGAGGGCCCAGCATTAAAGGCTGGTGGGAATAAAACACCCGAAAGTTTTTATCCCTCGCCAGACAGAGCTGAACAAATCTCTTGAAAATGCCGACATCTCGTGCAAGCGAAATGTAGAGAAGAAACATCTTCAAACGATGGTCAGGAAGACCGATAACAAAAACACTAGCTGTTACTACCTCCTTTATGTTTGAACAACTCTACTATTGCTTCGGCCGAAGGTCATTATCAAGAGTAACGGTTAAATACAAGATTGTTGATCGTTGGCCTTGATAATTCTCTTTATAGATATAACTATATCGAAAATCCACAATTAAATCGTTTAACAGTTTTTCACAAAAGCTGCGCTCTGATGTTATCGTATATCGTATAAGCATCCTATTCAAATGAGTGATTCCAGAGTTAATCTTTAGAAAATTTTTGGAACTTCCTGTAAAAGTATAAGCCATACCTTTTACACTACATAAAATCGTTTTTGTATATGAATGAGAATAAACTACCTACCCAATAACACAGCATATAGCAAAAAAATTAACCTAATAATTACACAGTGCAAACAATGGCTTTTTATGCTTATCAACATTATGTTATCGTCTTCATCATCAAGCTTGTTGACGACAAATAATAACATCTCTTATCGCAACTTTTATTTTACGTAAGACGCACGTGTGGGCACAGATGGTACACCTGCAAATCACGCAGTTGGTGATTTTTAACAAACAAGCAAAACGCTACCTGTTTTATCAACGCATATAGCAGCCTAGATGGGTAGTAGCCTATTGTGATAACCTTACTGTTAGTAATAATAAATGAAGAGGTATTAGAAAGAATAGAAGAACAGAGGACTCTATGGAAGTCAATAAAAATAGGCGAGATAGGTTGGTAGGACACCTTCTCAGGTAGGAAGGTCTAGTCAGAGACATATTAAAGGTAGAAACAGGAGTTAGGAGGGTAGAGGTAGACCTAGATTAGATTACTGTTCGCAAATAGTTAAGGATGTGGGATGTTCTAGTTTTAGGGAAATGCGAAGTTTAGCTCAGGATAGGAAAGAGTGGAGGTACGTGTCCAACCAGTCTTAGGACTGACGACCTTATGATGATGATGATGATGATGATGATGAAGTGCAGTTGTTAAAAGAGAGTTAAATCTAAACACAATAAGAGATCATTTTGTCCCACGGCACCTAGAGGTAAAATGATTCCTAAATCGGGGTAAAATGATCACACACTGTTTGCTGTTTGTTTCGGGTAGATTTTATTATATTAGGTATGGGATACCTACAAAGTGAAATTGTGAAGACAGTGGAAATGAGACAATCAAATAAATTATAAAACGTATAAGATACAATCAAGGATGCAATTTAAAGTAAAAGACTACTGACAATGAGATTGTGCAGACGTCTCCAACATATGCATAACATTAATGACCCTTAACTGGGCAACATTAGAATGGTGCAAACGCGAATGTGAATTGCAAGCAAGACATAATTGAAAAAGCTACGTTGAGCAGAGATTTAAGATTTTGCATGGAAGAATCAAAGGCAAATGTTAATTTTCATTTTATTTTATTCTTTTTACCTTTTGAAGATTTAGTATTGACTGTATTCCCGATAATGACTATATAGCCGACACGACACAATGATTCTGTGATTTATCGATGCAGTGTTTTCATCCGTGTCCGTGGAATTTTACTTTTCCAAACGTTTCGCCGTTCTTTGCTGACGGCATCTTCAGTGGTGGGTAGGCAGTTGCTGAGTCGTAACTGATCAGTGAAAGCCTAAGAACTACAGTATTGTGTGATTTAATTAACACAATACACACTCTTTTATGTCTCCTTTTTGGAAACGGTATTAACATAAGAGTATCGTATAGATACTAACAAAAATATTGGTAGGCAAACTCCATGTACGTGATATTATTTATATATTTTATATTAGGCTCAGATCTCATTTAAAAATTCGAAACGAAAAACCAGAAAAATCGCCGACTGAAAATGGAAACCACTAAAGATGTAAAATAAAGAAGAGAGGGATCCCTTTCGATCAGATGCTTCTGGGAAAGCAAATAACTGATCCTGAATTTGAGTCCAAGATTTTTACACTTATATAAATATTAACTACTCGAATGTAAAATTACAATTGGACTTCTACTAGGGAAAACAGCACTGCACGCAGATATAATGTAGGCAGTGTGGCGCCATCTACTAAAATTCACCGTTAACTGTAGATTTCACATGCAGCATAAGGACCTTACTACGAAGGTATCTACTTGACAAACTGAGTCCACCATGCATGTTGCTCATCGTTTTACCAGCCCGAAAGGCTAAAAATACTTCATAGTCATTGACTCACTGAAATATTTTAGTTAGTTAGAGTTAGTACAGGAATCCAACAATCCACAAATAACATGGATTACAATTAAAACGGAAACCACTAGAGATATAAAATAAAGAAGAGAGTGATCAAATGCTCCTGGGAAAGGAAACTGAACCTGAATTCAAGATTTGTATCTTTGAGTTACCTACTTACACTTATATTGATGCAATACAAAACAATAGCGCAGGTTTGGGTTGTTTTTACCGAAATGAGATCACTTTAATAGTGGTGAGGCAAGGTAAGTTGGTAAGACACATCTTGGATATGAACGGCTAGTTAGAGACGTATTAAAAGCAGAAACAGGAGTTATGAGGAGCAGAAGTTGACCTAAATTACATTATTGTAGGTTAATAATGCTCTGACTATCACAAAATGCGATTGGCTCCATATAGAAAGAAGTGGAGGTGCGTGTTCAACCATTAGTATTTGGACTGAGAACATGCATGCTTAATCACAATAGAATATGTAATCATTGATGATTGAGGCAACTTCATGGCATAACTGGTATATTCTTGGTCGGCAGATTTTAAAAACCACAAGACTTGAATCGCTATTTCGAACTTGCTGATAGTTATTATCATCACTTCGTAGCATGGCAATTTCGAAGCATTATACTTTATTTACTTTCTCTAGCGATGTATCCCTTCCAATATCTTGGATGCGCGCTGACAAAATCGTAGGTAGGGAGAGAAAAAGCTCATTATACTCTCGACTCTTGTTCATTAAACTTACTTTTTCATACAGTACCGGCCAAAAGTTTTGTTCAATCATGAATAGTAGTGCGAGTCGAAAACAAGCGTTAAAGCCTTTAATATGTCTTCAAATATAAATAAACATCTCGTTGATATTTTCAGTAGTAAACGGTACCAATAACAGCACATTTGAGCAATGCAATTGTAGTGGATAAAATGGCCAATTTTTCCATGCAGTATTGTACGGTTTATACGCTCCTCGCCGGTTAAGAGTTTGGCCGAGAGTTGTCTCCTTCCTTTTCTGGCCTAG